TTTTTTTTTTTTTTTTTTTTTTTTAACGAACCTACTAAGAATTATTAACCGAACGATCCGAGGAAGTAGAGAAAAACCCAGGAACATTATGTAAAGATGTTTGCACCGTCAACTTAATTAAATTCAAAATGTCAAAGCAGAGCGAGGAGAGACAAGCTCAAAAATGTCTCGAAATTGCAAAAAGTAAATCATCGCAGCTTGGTTGTATACCGTGAAAAACCATTGGCGTAGGCTTCCAGGTAGTAAAGCGTCCTCGCACGGGGTTGCCTTGTAGAAGGGACCCAACCAACCCAAGGAGAGCAGCAAGGGCTCGGGGACGTTATAATTGTTCCCCAAAGTCCCATCAGGAAGAGATATCGGCATGGTCCTTGGCAAGGAGAGCGAGACAGCCGTCCTAAATTTCATAGCCGACCGCCAGGATACGGGCTGGTTATAACGGGATTCATCCGGATACGTCAGACCCTCCTCGTTAATAAGGTTGCTTTACACGAAATACCGATCCCATTGACAAAGATTAGCCGCTTTAAGTTTATTGCGTCAAACACGCGTCAACGTACATACACAACATACGTGAATATGACAAGAGCGACTTTTGTTTCAAAATCGGGATAAAGTCAGTCAGAAAATTAATCTCACGTCATTTGATCCTGTTTGAAATTTTTATCCAAAACCCAAAATTAAATCATTATTCGTATACACGCGTCATACGCGTTTCCCATTTCGGTAAACAGCAATGGGAATAACATGAGAAGAGAGAGGGGGGACCATAGACAGATTTGATTCGGATAATCAATATATACGGTTGACAGACCCCGTCTGCTTGTACAGAGCAATCAGTCCCTTCCCTCCCCCTCTCCCCCCGTTACATTGACTAAACTCGTCCAATTATCCCAATCAGGATATCTCATTGGAATCCAAGGATGCTTCAAAATGCGTTATAGGACTAAATTAGCCAGTTTACGTAATAGTCGAATTTTTTTCACTTGTCAAACTGATACTTCACACTTCCCTTTGAAGTTCCCGTTTGATGGTGCGATACGCGGAAAGATGGGAAAAAAGATCCAAGAAGAAAAAAAGACAAGTTTTTTTTTGTCTCCTTTTACAGTAAAAACTTGTTGGCTACTTCGACTGGCAAAGTTCGTGCGTGGCTATGTATACCTATATAGGCATATATGTCCGGCTTGGTACCAGACCGCGACGACTGCAGGTTGGTGCGACCATATGTGTCCTTCATCTCCTTACAACGTGTGCTACCAGGGTGGCGATGTGAAACGTTGGAACGACAGTCCATAGTATGTGGTCCATAGTGTGTAGGTAGCTACAGCATCCGGAACGGATTGCGCTATCGATTTGCAGTTTCACGAGTACTTTGGGACAAGTAGCAGAAGCAGGATGGAAACGGTGCGAAGGG